GCGTGTGTGTTTGTGTGTGTGTCTGTGTGTCTGTGTGATTTTCGTGGATGTTCGAATGTGATTGTTGAGTGGATGTAAGGGAGTTGTGTCTGGTTTGAAGACGTTAGATGAGTTGGCGATGTGTATGTGAATGTGTATGTGTATGTGTGTGTGTGTGCATGTGGATGTTGATGTGTATGTGTATTTGTAGTGGATATGGATGTGGACGGCGATACAGAGGTCTATTTTGATGTTGAAGGCGATGTGATTAATGTGAAGGAGGGCGTGACCATGGTCTTCCTTCGTATTTGCAGGCGGCTTCGACTGATACTCTTTGTGAGCATGTGGTGTATACCTGTGAGCAAGTGTTCACGTCTTCTCCCTTCTTCCTTGTAGGTGTCGAAGAAGGTGGTGAGGGAGTGTCCGGGGAGTTGACTGGTCAGCCTGAAGACAATGAACACACGATAGGTGAGTGTCGGCTTCCATTCTGCTCGTCGAGTGTTGCACTGTGTCAGTTGGTTTGTTCGCGTTCCAGTTAGTGTGAGAGAGTGTGTGCATTTGATGTTGATTTGGTCAGGGCGAGTGTTTCACTAATATGTGTATGTGTCTGTCTGTGTCTGAATCTGTTTGTGATTGTGGTTGTGTGTGTGTGTGTGACTGTGTGAGTGTGTGATCTTCGTGGATGTTCGAGTGTGATTTTTGAGTGGATGTGAGGGAGTTGTGTCTGGTTTGAAGACGTTAGATGAGTTGGCGATGTGTATGTGAATGTGTATGTGTATGTGTGTGTGTGTGCATGTGGATGTTGATGTGTATGTGTATTTGTAGTGGATGTGGATGTGGACGGCGATACGGAGGTCTATTTTGATGTTGAAGGCGATGTGATTAATGTGAAGGAGGCGTGACCATGGTCTTCCTTCGTATTTGCAGGCGGCTTCCACTGATACTCTTAGTGAGCATTTGGTGTATACCTGTGAGCAAGTGTTCACGTCTTCTCCCTTCTTCCTTGTAGGTGTCGAAGAAGGTGGTGAGGGAGTGTCCGGGGAGTTGACTGGTCAGCCTGAAGACAATGAACACACGATAGGTGAGTGTCGGCTTCCATTCTGCTCGTCGAGTGTTGCACTGTGTCAGTTGGTTTGTTCGCGTTCCAGTTAGTGTGAGAGAGTGTGTGCATTTGATGTTGATTTGGTCAGGGCGAGTGTTTCACTAATATGTGTATGTGTCTGTCCGTGTCTGAATCTGCTTTGTGATTTTGATTGTGTGTGTCTGTTTGTGTGTAATTTTCGTGGATATTAGTGTCAGATTTTTAATTGGAAGTTGGAAAAATCGTGTCTGGTTTGAAGACGTTAGATGAGTTGGCGATGTGTATGTGTTTGTGCATGTGAATGTTGATGTGTATGTGTATTTTTAGTGGATGTGGATGTGGACGGCGATACGGAGGTCTATTTTGATGTTGAAGGCGATGTGATTAATGTGAAGGAGGGCGTGACCATGGTCTTCCTTCGTATTTGCAGGCGGCTTCGACTGATACTCTTTGTGAGCATGTGGTGTATACCTGTGAGCAAGTGTTCACGTCTTCTCCCTTCTTCCTTGTAGGTGTGGAAGAAGGTGGTGAGGGAGTGTCCGGGGAGTTGACTGGTCAGCCTGAAGACAATGAACACACGATAGGTGAGTGTCGGCTTCCATTCTGCTCGTCGAGTGTTGCACTGTGTCAGTTGGTGTGTTCGCGTTCCAGTTAGTGTGAGAGAGTGTGTGCATTTGATGTTGATTTGGTCAGGGCGAGTGTTTCACTAATATGTGTATGTGTCTGTCTGTGTCTGAATCTGTTTGTGATTGTGTTTGTGTGTGTGTGTGTGTGTCTGTGTGATCTTCGTGGATGTTCGAGTGAGATTGTTGAGTGGATGTGAGGGAATTGTGTCTGGTTTGAAGACGTTAGATGAGTTGGCGATGTGTATGTGAATGTGTGTGTGTATGTGTGTGTGTGTGTGCATGTGGATGTTGATGTGTATGTGTATTTGTAGTGGATGTGGATGTGGACGGCGATACGGAGGTCTATTTTGATGTTGAAGGCGATGTGATTAATGTGAAGGAGGGCGTGACCATGGTCTTCCTTCGTATTTGCAGGCGGCTTCGACTGATACTCTTTGTGAGCATGTGGTGTATACCTGTGAGCAAGTGTTCACGTCTTCTCCCTTCTTCCTTGTAGGTGTGGAAGAAGGTGGTGAGGGAGTGTCCGGGGAGTTGACTGGTCAGCCTGAAGACAATGAACACACGATAGGTGAGTGTCGGCTTCCATTCTGCTCGTCGAGTGTTGCACTGTGTCAGTTGGTTTGTTCGCGTTCCAGTTAGTGTGAGAGAGTGTGTGCATTTGATGTTGATTTGGTCAGGGCGAGTGTTTCACTAATATGTGTATGTGTCTGTCCGTGTCTGAATCGCTTTGTGATTTTGATTGTGTGTGTCTGTTTGTGTGTAATTTTCGTGGACATTGGTGTCAGATTTTTAATTGGAATTTGGGGAATCGCGTCTGGTTTGAAGACGTTAGATGAGTTGGCGTTGTGTATGTGTTTGTGCATGTGAATGTTGATGTGTATGTGTATTTTTAGTGGATGTGGATGTGGACGGCGATACAGAGGTCTATTTTGATGTTGAAGGCGATGTGATTAATGTGAAGGAGGGCGTGACCATGGTCTTCCTTCGTATTTGCAGGCGGCTTCGACTGATACTCTTTGTGAGCATGTGGTGTATACCTGTGAGCAAGTGTTCACGTCTTCTCCCTTCTTCCTTGTAGGTGTCGAAGAAGGTGGTGAGGGAGTGTCCGGGGAGTTGACTGGTCAGCCTGAAGACAATGAACACACGATAGGTGAGTGTCGGCTTCCATTCTGCTCGTCGAGTGTTGCACTGTGTCAGTTGGTTTGTTCGCGTTCCAGTTAGTGTGAGAGAGTGTGTGTATTTGATGTTGATTTGGTCGGGGCGAGTGTTTCACTAATGTAACAACAGAAGACAAGGTCCAGGCAACAGATCGTTTTATTATGAATATCAACACCTATTTATACATATTTCAGACAACATTATTATAGACAAGCGCAGTCATCTGTTTGGTTGTTTAGGTAGACAAACGCAGGCTTCTGATTGGTTGTTTCGGGATTCCTTGACAAACAGAGCTCTCTATCTGCGAATCATATTTTGCCACGTTAACTTCGCTGTGATTGGTTGTTGACTCAGCCTTGTTCACGGCCCATATTAGTGACCTAGACCTTAACGTAGATTAGTGCCAACCAATCGGCTAGCAGCCTGCTCTCACCACACTAATATGTGTATGTGTCTGTCTGTGTCTGAATCGCTTTGTGATTTTGATTGTGTGTGTCTGTTTGTGTGTAATTTTCGTGGACATTAGTGTCAGATTTTTAGGTGGATGTGAGGGAATTGTGTCTGGTTTGAAGACGTTAGATGAGTTGGCGATGTGTATGTGTATGTGAATGTGTATGTGTGTGTGTGTGCATGTGGATGTTGATGTGTATGTGTATTTGTAGTGGATGTGGATGTGGACGGCGATACGGAGGTCTATTTTGATGTTGAAGGCGATGTGATTAATGTGAAGGAGGGCGTGACCATGGTCTTCCTTCGTATTTGCAGGCGGCTTCCACTGATACTCTTTGTGAGCATGTGGTGTATACCTGTGAGCAAGTGTTCACGTCTTCTCCCTTCTTCCTTGTAGGTGTGGAAGAAGGTGGTGAGGGAGTGTCCGGGAGTTGACTGGTCAGCCTGAAGACAATGAACACACGATAGGTGAGTGTCGCTTCCATTCTGCTCGTCGAGTGTTGCACTGTGTCAGTTGGTTTGTTCGCGTTCCAGTTAGTGTGAGAGAGTGTGTGTATTTGATGTTGATTTGGTCAGGGCGAGTGTTTCACTAATATGTGTATGTGTCTGTCTGTGTCTGAATCGCTTTGTGATTTTGATTGTGTGTGTCTGTTTGTGTGTAATTTTTGTGGACATTAGTGTCAGATTTTTAGGTGGATGTGAGGGAATTGTGTCTGGTTTGAAGACGTCAGATGAGTTGGCGATGTGTATGTGAATGTGTATGTGTGTGTGTGTGCATGTGGATGTTGATGTGTATGTGTATTTTTAGTGGATGTGGATGTGGACGGCGATACGGAGGTCTATTTTGATGTTGAAGGCGATGTGATTAATGTGAAGGAGGGCGTGACCATGGTCTTCCTTCGTATTTGCAGGCGGCTTCGACTGATACTCTTTGTGAGCATGTGGTGTATACCTGTGAGCAAGTGTTCACGTCTTCTCCCTTCTTCCTTGTAGGTGTCGAAGAAGGTGGTGAGGGAGTGTCCGGGAGTTGACTGGTCAGCCTGAAGACAATGAACACACGATAGGTGAGTGTCGGCTTCCATTCTGCTCGTCGAGTGTTGCACTGTGTCAGTTGGTTTGTTCGCGTTCCAGTTAGTGTGAGAGAGTGTGTGTATTTGATGTTGATTTGGTCGGGGCGAGTGTTTCACTAATGTAACAACAGAAGACAAGGGCCAGGCAACAGATCGTTTTATTATGAAAATCAACACGTATTTATACATATTTCAGACAACATTATTATAGACAAGCGCAGTCATCTGATTGGTTGTTTAGGTAGACAAACGCAGGCTTCTGATTGGTTGTTTCGGGATTCCTTGACAAACACAGTTCTCTATCTGCGAATCATATTTTGCCACGTTAACTTCGCTGTGATTGGTTGTTGACTCAGCCTTGTTCACGGCCCATATTAGTGACCTAGACCTTAACGTAGATTAGTGCTAACCAATCGGCTAGCAGCCTGCTCTCACCACACTAATATGTGTATGTGTCTGTCTGTGTCTGAATCGCTTTGTGATTTTGATTGTGTGTGTCTGTTTGTGTGTAATTTTCGTGGACATTAGTGTCAGATTTTTAGGTGGATGTGAGGGAATTGTGTCTGGTTTGAAGACGTTAGATGAGTTGGCGATGTGTATGTGTATGTGAATGTGTATGTGTGTGTGTGTGCATGTGGATGTTGATGTGTATGTGTATTTGTAGTGGATGTGGATGTGGACGGCGATACAGAGGTCTATTTTGATGTTGAAGGCGATGTGATTAATGTGAAGGAGGCGTGACCATGGTCTTCCTTCGTATTTGCAGGCGGCTTCGACTGATACTCTTTGTGAGCATGTGGTGTATACCTGTGAACAAGTGTTCACGTCTTCTCCCTTCTTCCTTGTAGGTGTCGAAGAAGGTGGTGAGGGAGTGTCCGGGGAGTTGACTGGTCAGCCTGAAGACAATGAACACACGATAGGTGAGTGTCGGCTTCCATTCTGCTCGTCGAGTGTTGCACTGTGTCAGTTGGTTTGTTCGCGTTCCAGTTAGTGTGAGAGAGTGTGTGTATTTGATGTTGATTTGGTCAGGGCGAGTGTTTCACTAATATGTGTATGTGTCTGTCTGTGTCTGAATCGCTTTGTGATTTTGATTGTGTGTGTCTGTTTGTGTGTAATTTTTCGTGGACATTGGTGTCAGATTTTTAATTGAATGTTGGGGAATTGTGTCTGGTTTGAAGACGTTAGATGAGTTGGCGATGTGTATGTGTTTGTGTATGTGTGTGTGTGTGTGCATGTGGATGTTGATGTGTATGTGTATTTGTAGTGGATGTGGATGTGGATGGCGATACGGAGGTCTATTTTGATGTTGAAGGCGATGTGATTAATGTGAAGGAGGGCGTGACCATGGTCTTCCTTCGTATTTGCAGGCGGCTTCGACTGATACTCTTTGTGAGCATGTGGTGTATACCTGTGAGCAAGTGTTCACGTCTTCTCCCTTCTTCCTTGTAGGTGTCGAAGAAGGTGGTGAGGGAGTGTCCGGGAGTTGACTGGTCAGCCTGAAGACAATGAACACACGATAGGTGAGTGTCGGCTTCCATTCTGCTGGTCGAGTGTTGCACTGTGTCAGTTGGTTTGTTCGCGTTCCAGTTAGTGTGAGAGAGTGTGTGTATTTGATGTTGATTTGGTCAGGGCGAGTGTTTCACTAATATGTGTATGTGTCTGTCTGTGTCTGAATCGCTTTGTGATTTTGATTGTGTGTGTCTGTTTGTGTGTAATTTTTGTGGACATTAGTGTCAGATTTTTAGGTGGATGTGAGGGAATTGTGTCTGGTTTGAAGACGTCAGATGAGTTGGCGATGTGTATGTGTATGTGAATGTGTATGTGTGTGTGTGTGCATGTGGATGTTGATGTGTATGTGTATTTGTAGTGGATGTGGATGTGGACGGCGATACGGAGGTCTATTTTGATGTTGAAGGCGATGTGATTAATGTGAAGGAGGGCGTGACCATGGTCTTCCTTCGTATTTGCAGGCGGCTTCGACTGATACTCTTTGTGAGCATGTGGTGTATACCTGTGAGCAAGTGTTCACGTCTTCTCCCTTCTTCTTTGTAGGTGTCGAAGAAGGTGGTGAGGGAGTGTCCGGGAGTTGACTGGTCAGCCTGAAGACAATGAACACACGATAGGTGAGTGTCGGCTTCCATTCTGCTCGTCGAGTGTTGCACTGTGTCAGTTGGTTTGTTCGCGTTCCAGTTAGTGTGAGAGAGTGTGTGTATTTGATGTTGATTTGGTCAGGGCGAGTGTTTCACTAATATGTGTATGTGTCTGTCCGTGTCTGAATCGCTTTGTGATTTTGATTGTGTGTGTCTGTTTGTGTGTAATTTTCGTGGACATTAGTGTCAGATTTTTAGGTGGATGTGAGGGAATTGTGTCTGGTTTGATGACGTTAAATGAGTTGGCGATGTGGATGTTTATGTGTGTGTGTGCATGTGGATGTTGATGTGTATGTGTATTTGTAGTGGATGTGGATGTGGACGGCGATACGGAGGTCTATTTTGATGTTGAAGGCGATGTGATTAATGTGAAGGAGGGCGTGACCATGGTCTTCCTTCGTATTTGCAGGCGGCTTCGACTGATACTCTTTGTGAGCATGTGGTGTATACCTGTGAGCAAGTGTTCACGTCTTCTCCCTTCTTCCTTGTAGGTGTCGAAGAAGGTGGTGAGGGAGTGTCCGGGGAGTTGACTGGTCAGCCTGAAGACAATGAACACACGATAGGTGAGTGTCGGCTTCCATTCTGCTCGTCGAGTGTTGCACTGTGTCAGTTGGTTTGTTCGCGTTCCAGTTAGTGTGAGAGAGTGTGTGTATTTGATGTTGATTTGGTCAAAGCGAGTGTTTCACTAATATGTGTATGTGTCTGTCTGTGTCTGAATCGCTTTGTGATTTTGATTGTGTGTGTCTGTTTGTGTGTAATTTTCGTGGACATTGGTGTCAGATTTTTAATTGAATGTTGGGGAATTGTGTCTGGTTTGAAGACGTTAGATGAGTTGGCGATGTGTATGTGTATGTGAATGTGTATGTGTGTGTGTGTGCATGTGGATGTTGATGTGTATGTGTATTTGTAGTGGATGTGGATGTGGACGGCGATACGGAGGTCTATTTTGATGTTGAAGGCGATGTGATTAATGTGAAGGAGGGCGTGACCATGGTCTTCCTTCGTATTTGCAGGCGGCTTCGACTGATACTCTTTGTGAGCATGTGGTGTATACCTGTGAGCAAGTGTTCACGTCTTCTACTTTCTTCCTTTTAGGTTTGATATTCAGTGACGTGAGAGTTCCCGGGGAAATACCTGGTGATGAACAAGACCGCTTTCACCCGATAGGTGAGTGTCGGCTTCCATTCTGCTCGTCGAGTGTTGCACTGTGTCAGTTGGTTTGTTCGCGTTCCAGTTAGTGTGAGAGAGTGTGTGCATTTGATGTTGATTTGGTCGGGGCGAGTGTTTCACTAATATGTGTATGTGTCTGTCTGTGTCTGAATCGCTTTGTGATTTTGATTGTGTGTGTCTGTTTGTGTGTAATTTTCGTGGACATTGGTGTCAGGTTTTTAGGTGGATGTGAGGGAATTGTGTCTGGTTTGAAGACGTCAGATGAGTTGGCGATGTGTATGTGTATGTGAATGTGTATGTGTGTGTGTGTGCATGTGGATGTTGATGTGTATGTGTATTTGTAGTGGATGTGGATGTGGACGGCGATACGGAGGTCTATTTTGATGTTGAAGGCGATGTGATTAATGTGAAGGAGGGCGTGACCATGGTCTTCCTTCGTATTTGCAGGCGGCTTCGACTGATACTCTTTGTGAGCATGTGGTGTATACCTGTGAGCAAGTGTTCACGTCTTCTCCCTTCTTCCTTGTAGGTGTCGAAGAAGGTGGTGAGGGAGTGTCCGGGGAGTTGACTGGTCAGCCTGAAGACAATGAACACACGATAGGTGAGTGTCGGCTTCCATTCTGCTCGTCGAGTGTTGCACTGTGTCAGTTGGTTTGTTCGCGTTCCAGTTAGTGTGAGAGAGTGTGTGTATTTGATGTTGATTTGGTCAAAGCGAGTGTTTCACTAATATGTGTATGTGTCTGTCTGTGTCTGAATCGCTTTGTGATTTTGATTGTGTGTGTCTGTTTGTGTGTAATTTTCGTGGACATTGGTGTCAGATTTTTAATTGAATGTTGGGGAATTGTGTCTGGTTTGAAGACGTTAGATGAGTTGGCGATGTGTATGTGTATGTGAATGTGTATGTGTGTGTGTGTGCATGTGGATGTTGATGTGTATGTGTATTTGTAGTGGATGTGGATGTGGACGGCGATACGGAGGTCTATTTTGATGTTGAAGGCGATGTGATTAATGTGAAGGAGGGCGTGACCATGGTCTTCCTTCGTATTTGCAGGCGGCTTCGACTGATACTCTTTGTGAGCATGTGGTGTATACCTGTGAGCAAGTGTTCACGTCTTCTACTTTCTTCCTTTTAGGTTTGATATTCAGTGACGTGAGAGTTCCCGGGGAAATACCTGGTGATGAACAAGACCGCTTTCACCCGATAGGTGAGTGTCGGCTTCCATTCTGCTCGTCGAGTGTTGCACTGTGTCAGTTGGTTTGTTCGCGTTCCAGTTAGTGTGAGAGAGTGTGTGCATTTGATGTTGATTTGGTCGGGGCGAGTGTTTCACTAATATGTGTATGTGTCTGTCTGTGTCTGAATCGCTTTGTGATTTTGATTGTGTGTGTCTGTTTGTGTGTAATTTTCGTGGACATTGGTGTCAGGTTTTTAGGTGGATGTGAGGGAATTGTGTCTGGTTTGAAGACGTCAGATGAGTTGGCGATGTGTATGTGTATGTGAATGTGTATGTGTGTGTGTGTGCATGTGGATGTTGATGTGTATGTGTGTTTGTAGTGGATGTGGATGTGGACGGGGATACGGAGGTCTATTTTGATGTTGAAGGCGATGTGATTAATGTGAAGGAGGGCGTGACCATGGTCTTCCTTCGTATTTGCAGGCGGCTTCGACTGATACTCTTTGTGAGCATGTGGTGTATACCTGTGAGCAAGTGTTCACGTCTTCTCCCTTCTTCCTTGTAGGTGTGGCAGAAGGTGGTGAGGGTGTGTCCGGGGAGTTGACTGGTCAGCCTGAAGACAATGAACACACGATAGGTGAGTGTCGGCTTCCATTCTGCTCGTCGAGTGTTGCACTGTGTCAGTTGGTTTGTTCGCGTTCCAGTTAGTGTGAGAGAGTGTGTGCATTTGATGTTGATTTGGTCAGGGCGAGTGTTTCACTAATATGTTTATGTGTCTTTCTGTGTGTGAATCTAATTTTTTTTTGTGTGTGTGCACCTGTTTTTCCGGGAATTTTTTTTTCTTTTTCGCATAATTTTACAATTTTTTTTTAAATTTAATTCTTTAATTTTTCTTTGGATTCTTTCCGGGTCATGTTTTGGTGTTTCGCTTTCTTTACGTCGTTTCCTTTTGTTACTTGATATTTTAGTTTGTATGTGAATTTTATGTTATTTGAATATGTTTTGCCTCAGGTCTTCGTATATTTTCCTCTTGTATCTAACTTTTTTATCTCGGTTGTGTAGCTCATAGCTTTTCCTCGCTTGTGTATGGAGTCTTTACCAGCACTGGTTTGAAACTGCCGGGCAGTGCTATTTGCAATTTTTCCAGTTGTTCTTCTGCCTATGTCAACTCATTATGAAGTCGTCCAACGAAACAAACAAATTCCTTGCAATAGCACTGCTTGAATAATGATAATTTATTTCACTTTATCCATCTACAGGTGGCAAAGAAAATATTTTGAGGAGTAACTTAACATTCAGTTTAACGAAAGATATTGGTATGCATTTATTGTAATTCTTTTCATTTTTCAAAATTTTACTTTATGACTTAAGAAGCTGTATGTTTTATTAAGATTCTTAGAAATTTATAATTCATAGTGTTTTTCGATAGATATACGTTGGGTTAACGCTTGGATATAAAAGTCGGTTAAGATTTATATCCTTAAGTGATTTAGCTATACCATTGGTATTCCTAAACTTTCATTACAATAAATTGTCACTATACATAGACGATGTTCATTCGCAGGAAGAACATGACAAAGGTTGATAAACATTCAACTGAAATCTCTACTTCTGTACAAAATATATACTATATACCTTTAGGGATGTTGCTGTTTTAACATGGATACGTTTTTATTCTTGTTCCCGCTGTAAACTCGTATAAACTTTCAGCAATTAAGGGATTTTGTGCCTCTCTGTCCTTCTTTCTTTCAAAGAGTGTTGTAAACAATGCCATCAAAAAGATAAACTTGCATTTAAAAACATTAGTTACCCTATAGGAACTATGTGCATCAGTAAAAAAGAGACGTAAATTTATTACTAATTTAACGCTTGAAACTTAAGTTGTGAGAAAGCTCATCAGGTTGCACAACGCATGTAGTTAAACCTTATGCGCTCAGATAACGTCTCATATCTGGTTCTTTTTACTAGTCAGTAGAATGTCAGGGTAGCTTTGTTATATTAATATATGTGTAAAACTTTGGCTTTGTGTTAGTAAGTGATTCCATACTGGTTTGTTTTTTAGATGTATCACACAGTGAAACAGTATTATTTACTGGATGACGTTTCAAAGAAAACTTATTGTTCATAATCATTACATGAATTGTAATCACACGACTTTGAAACTTGAGTTTTATAGTTTTTTTTCTCCTATCTGTTGTAGGGGTAGTAGAATTTTCCAGATATCAACTACAAATACATGTCATCGGAATGATTCAACACCTGTCCACCCAGATATTTGGAAAATTCTACTACCCCTACGACAGATAGGAGAGAACAAAGAAAACTATAAAGCTCAATTTTCAGAGTCGTGTGATTACAATTCATGTAATGATTATGAACAATAAATTTTCTTTGAAACGTCATCCAGTAAATAATACTGTTTCTTTACTGTGTGATACATCTAATAAACATACTAATATGGAATTAGCTTTCTTATAGCTTGCTCTTTAATTTTTCAAAAGTGGATATCATTTTTTCCACCTAAAGTTGATAATATATGGATAACGCAAATGTTGGAAGTGTTTTAACCATCTCGTTGGTTTTCGAGGTCTAAAAAAAGAATATTTATGGCCGAATCTAGAGTTTAATTTAAAAGATGTAGCGTTTTGTTTAATTTATAGAGAAATCTAGCGTAAAATAAACTTCAAAATGCTCACAATGTTTGTACCAGCATGTTATTAACTCATCAGATACTGAAGTATTTAAAGAGCTTATTTCATACTCGATCGTTCAGGTGTGTTGTCTGATAGATATCTGATAAACCTTTCACGACAATCTGTATATATTACTTAATTAACGAGAATACTTTTCAATATTATTCAGGTGATTTAATAAGCAATTGTAGTCAACAGAATAAACCAGGTGAGTCTTTATACACACTTTTTCATAACATTATCATTATTATTTTTTTCCTTCACTTTCCTCAGTGGAATATAGGGCTTCAAGCTTCAAGCTTGAAGTTTCTGTGGCAGTGTTTATTTTACAGCATGGAGTTGCTAGCCTCATGCCCATCCTTCACTCTTTACCAGCATTATTTCTGGCTTAGCGAGGTAAAGTAGTGCGTCGGCCGAGGATCGAACCCCGGACCATATGCATGGTCGGCGAGCGTCTTAACCGCTATACCACCGACGCAAAAGCGTCTGTCGGAGGTGGGATTCGAACCCACGCCCACATCATGGACCAGAACACCCAGAAGATTACTCTTGAGTCTGGCGCCTTAGACCGCTCGGCCACCCCGACCTCCTTTTCATAACAAATCTACCTTATTTAATAATATCATGTGCTGATTACATTATTGCTTATTGTTTTATATTCAACAAACTAGTATTGCTCCATACTAACTAACCAATGGTTATACTGACAACTTAAAAATGCCTCATTTTTTTTCTTTATTCACAAATTAGGCAATTCAACACATGATTTTAAGAGGTGTAATCAGAAGTTGAAAGTCAACGTGACAGTCTCCTTGTCTTTAAAATAAACTTATTATTGTATTTTATCAAGAAGATGGAATAAACGCAATGGGACTGAAAATCTTATCCTTATATCAATATGTAGTTTAACTAAAAGCGTAAAAATTTCAGTTATTATTTGTTAAGGCTAACCGTATTTAATTCTTTTTATTATAAATATAAGTATTAGTTGTTTTTAAACATTATAATAATAATACCTTTATTCAGAAAATGCCTTTATGCCTAATACACAATTTTCAGGCAGTTTTTTCTTCTTTTTATTGCAACTTATTTACTACTTGTGCAGAATCTTCAAGTAATATAATATACAATAATATATCCACTGAAGTGAGATTGTTATATCTGACACCTGCTCCATTAATCCTCAGTATTCCCACTCCATATCCAACAAACAATTCATAGGAATAGGTAGACACCTATTGGAAAATGCTCCTTCCTAGATACAAATGGTGATTCTTAGACAGTGTATGGTTATAGCAATATCGAAATGGTGTATGCACGATCAATTGAGACGGCTATAAAATTTAGTTAGCCCAGTGATTTGAATAGGTCAAGCATTTGAAATACTGAAAAGACAAGGTTCTAAAGTCAGCATTCAACTCCTCTAAAATTTATTGGAAATCGGTAAAACATACGCTAGGTGTGACAGAAGAGCCTCTCTGAAGGTGAATTTGAACGAAACGTGTTCAACAGTTTTAGGGAGAAAGAAGATAAAAAACAAGGAATGATTCTCAATGGACACTTCGAAGCTAATAGAGGAGAGGAGATTGGTAAATGAGAAAATGATTCAATGCAAAGACGGACAAGAGACAGAGACGCTGAGCTCAACTTACACAGCACTGAAAAAAGAAGTGAAGAAGAGTGCTAGGAAGGACAAAAGACAATTCTACGACAACCTGGTCACTGAAGCTGAGAAGGCAGCAGGCAAAAGGGACCTGAGGACATTATATCAGATAACCAAGTCTCTATCCAGGAAGAGATCAACACAAGCGAAAGCTATAAAAGACAGCCAAGGGAACCCAATTATCAAGGAAGAAAGACAGATTAAATAATGAGCGGATCACTTCAAAGGACTCTTGAACCGACCATCACCTGTAACCCGTCCAGAAATACCAACAAAAGCACGTACACAACTGCAAGTTGACACCAGTCCTCCGACGAAAGCTGAAGTCTTGAATGCAATCAAGCTTCTGAAAACTGGAAAAGCAGCTGGACCAGATGGAATACCTCCTGAAACACTAAAAGCGGACCCAGAGACTACAGCAGACATGCTGACTCGATTATTGCAAAAGGTCTGGAAGGAGGGAAAGGCGCCTACTGACTGGAGGAAAGGTTACCTCGTGAAACTACCAAAAAAGGGCGACTTAGGACTCTGCAAGAACTGGCGAGGAATCATACTCATGACGACGCCAAATAAAATGCTGAGTCGCATCATCCTGGAGGGAATAAAGGATGCACTGGATACAGAACTTCGACCAGAACAAGCTGGATTCAGGAAAGGCAAATCATGTTCTGACCACATTGCAACTCTAGACATCATCACACAACAAAGCATATAATGGCAATCAAACCTCTTCCTCAACTTTATAGACTTTGAGAAGGCCTTCAACAGCGTTGTCCGCGAAGTAATTTGGAAACTACTCGAGTACTACGGCGTACCCCAAATATTCATCAACCTTACTCAACAGCTGTACGACAACGGCACATGTCAAGTGATCCACAATGGAAAACTCAGCGAGGCTTTTGGAGTAAACACAGGAGTCAGAAAAGGGTGCTTATCATCACCAATGATATTCCTAATTGTGATGGACTGACTGGATTACGTGTCAGACAGTGGGAAACGAGAAGACAGGGATATCCTGGACCGACATGAAGAACCTAGAAGACCTGGATTTCGCGCATGGAGGATTTGTGTTTGATGTCACACAAAATCGAAAACTTACAAGCGAAAACCGACAAACTGGTCGAAGAATCAGCTGGCGAAGACAGGACTCCAAGTGAATATTGACAAGACAGAGGTGGTGAAAATAACCAACCAACCAACAACAACAGCAGCAGCAGCAACATCCAGCGCTAATCACCATCAACGGGAGGGATTTGAAGGAGGTTACTTCATTCACTTACCTATTTTCTATTTTGTTTTTATTACAGCTTGATTCCACATTGTATTTTTGGTGCAAGTATCGAATTTTCAGCATGGATATCGATAGCCCAAATTTTGTCGGCCGACCATAGATATCAGATGTGCGTCGGCAGAGGATCGAACCTCGGACCATGTGCATGGTCGGCGAGAGTCCTAACCTCTAAGCCGCCGACACGAACATTGTTTCAACTACAGGCAGTCGGAACGGACGAGGATGTCAAATCGAGAATCGGGAAGGCGAAAAACACATTCATCAACCTGAAAACAGTCTGGAAATCTTCCGCTGTCACTCAGCGACAACAACTAAATTCGGTCGGATTTTCAATACAAACAGCATCAAGTCAGTCAGTTCTTCTATACGGATCAGAAACTTGGCAGGTGGGTCACAAAGAATATTTCCAACAGCCTGTTGCAGACCTTTATCAACAAGTGTCTTCGCTGGATCTATACTGAAGATCAATGGTCGGGCTGGAAAGAATCACTAACATGAAACTATGGAAACAAACAAAACAAGAACCCATCGCCGAACAAATATGCAGGAGAAAGTGGATGGAGATGGATTAGACACTCGCTGAGGAGGAGGTCACTGGGTGAAGTCACGCGTCAGGTCCACGAGTGTAACCCGAAAGGTAAGAGGCGAGTGGGACGTCGGTGCAAGGGTGACATGGAGGAGATCGTGTGAAGAGGAGTGAAGGCAGTATGGAATAACGTGGATGCAGGTGAAAAGTACAGTAGAAGAAGACAGAAGCAAGTGGAGACGTGCAGTTGAAGCCCTATGTTCCACTAGGAACCCAAAAGAACAATAATAATTATGACTGAAATGGAATACAATATCTCCAAAACGAAACAAATTAAACTAAAAAAGAGTTTTGAGCTAAGATTAGTGGGTTATTTAGTTTGCGTCTTGTTTTATATGTCTGTGATATTTGTGGATAGATTTAAGCTATTATACTCAGTGGTTTTACCGACAATACTGAGATGTAAACAAAAGAGTGTAAGGTGGCAGCTGGAACTTTTTAGGTAGATACTGGGAAAGATCAGCCTTAAGCAACCTAACGTGACTTAGAGATATCTGGTCAATATATATTCGCTTAAGTATTTGTTGATTTTACACTTACTTATATTCTGCCGGCTAAGCTTTACTTGTGTGCGGACAAATGAGAAAACTGGCAACCAGTTTATGATTTCTCCTCATGAGGTAAAATTGTACGTCTGAGCAAGTGAAATATGAAAATTGTTAGTGTTTTAAGATAAACGGTGGCTTCTGCCTAGAGTTTACCCATAAATTCAAGAAGTGATGCGTCTTCCAGTTGATTTCTTACATTACACCTTAATGCAGATATCCGCTGCAAAATAGGGAAATAACCTTTAACAAAACGACTGAAAATGCTAGACAGAATTTCTTAGGTACATCATAATATTCAAATGCTGCTTAGAAAAAATTTTCCCCAAAGAGTATTCAAATGAATTCTCAGTAAATACACCTTAGAAGTGAAAAAAAAATTGACAAAGTATATAGCATACCGAAATATGCTTCAAGTTGTCATCAATATTTTGTTATTAATATCTTTGTATCCTTTTTTTTAGCTTGACAGTTAATAACAGTCATTTTCTCAAGTAACTTTCTGTCCACTCTCAACACTAGTTGCTTGTATCTACGCTCTTCATATTCAAAGAAACCCAGTGTTTCTTCACGATTTGTTGTATCCCGCAAGCCTTAGTCTAAATTTCATTCACTTTCTCACTACTTGACTATGCTTCACTGTTTTGAAGTGTTTATTATGATGTAGACGAGATTGCAAATTAGTTTATTAATTTCTTTTCTTACTGTTTGACATATATATATATATATACGGACATAATTACACATGTTTCATACATTTATTCCCCTTAATGAATTTGAACAAAGCAAAAACTACAGGTTTAGCAGAATAAAATGGTACCATCTTTTATTTCGTTGCCTTCTCGTCACCTGCTTACATCGCAAAGACATTATTAAATATATCTACAACAACAATTTTAACATACTTACCCACACAGAATTCATTTTAAACAAAAATCAATCGATCAGTATACGCATACATACATGTATCTGCGGGAGCAGTTACATTGAAAGGACAGAAAGAAGGGCATATCTACGATTTTCTCAACATGTACCAAAAAGCTTACGTCTAAAGGGAGGGAACAAATGCTTTAAACAGTGACATCGCCAGGCATCTCCTTAACATGGGTCATGAGGTGGACGTTGAAAAAACGTTCAAAATTATCAATAAGCAAAAGAGCTCAATTCTCCTTAAGTTTGCTGAAGCCATTTCCATCAAACGCCTGAAACCTGATTTACGCGTCCAAAAAGAAAGGGTTATCAGTCTTTCTTTGCCCTGTTAACTGGATATTTTCATCTCTCTTTCATCTGAATGCGTAATGCTGAAAAGTTTCCATTGTGTATGATTATTATTGTTTGGAATTGTGTTTGATATTGCATATATATATATTTATATTTTCAGTGTATGCGTATATTGATAGATTGATTTTTGTTTAAAATGAATTCTGTGTGGGTAAGTATGTTAAAATTGTTGTTGTAGATATATTTAATAATGTCTTTGCGATGTAAGCAGGTGACGAGAAGGCAACGAAATAAAAGATGGTACCATTTTATTCTGCTAAAACTGTAGTTCTTACTTTGTTCAAATTACACAAGTATTTGCTATTGTACAGCTAAGTGAATGAATTGGCTGAAAAGAGTCTCTTCCCTAAGCTGTTTAATAATCGTACTGCCATGTTTGAATTCGCTGTAGTTCAGTGTAAGCATCGGAGTGATAATTGAGTCTAAAAGTGGAGATCCTGTTTAATAGCTATATGAATAGGTTGCTATGTAAGATGAGGAGTGAATAACAGAATTCTGTTAACATAAGACAATGGTGATCTTTCGTATAACATACTGGAAAGTATTGTCTTGTTCCAAACATACTTTCCCAGTCATTTGGCTAAATTTGGCTGTTAATAACTGGAAATAATGTTATGTACTGCTGAGTGGTTAATAGCCCTGACGCAGAAAGAGGGAAATCAGAAGACCACCACGTTTATGATGATATGTGTATTTTCCAAACAAGGAAGAAAAATGACTGTCTCAGAAGTGTGAGAGTGAAAGGGTACGTAGTGTACG